ATAATATAAAATTTATATTTTAATATTTTAAATATATTTTTAATTATGTAGCTTATGTTATATATCACTAGTCATAGGTTTTTATCTTAAATTTTAATTTTGTTTATCATTTTTTTTCAGATATCCTTTTTTTTACTTACAGGAGCTAGTATAATGGTCAATAATTTCGTCTAAATTATTATATAAAAATATTTGATAACTCTTTTCATAAACTATTAATCACTGAATTCCAACCAATATACTAAATAGCTCTTACATCCATTAAAAAAATTTAAGAATTTTATCAAAGAATTAATTAAAATATATTTATCTCTAATAAAAGTTTTATTATAAGTCTTATCTAACTATCTATTATGTAATAATAATAGGTATAAAAATTGTTAAAATCAATAAATCTAAAATAAATACTCAATAACCTTTTAAAATAATTTTCAATGTATTTTTAGCAATAACATAGCTAGGTTTATGTCTATTATTGTGTCATTTTAATATCTTCAATAAATATTAAATATACTTATTAAAATCTTCAATAAATACTTAATAGACCTTTTAAAATCCAAATTTAATGTACTTTTAACAATAATCTTTCCATTGTATTTTCAATATTATATTTTTGATAACAATATACATCTTTCTACATTGCCTTATAAAAATTGTTAGATTTTTAATAAATTTTGAATAAATATCAAATGAGCCTTTAAAATCCAAACTTATTATATTTTTAACAATAATATTTTCAAACATATTTTTAATATTATATTTTCAATAATAATATTTCTTTTTAATACATCTTACTCTATTATAAAAATTGTTAAAATCTTTAATAAATTTTGAATAAGTATCCAATGGCCTTTTAATTTCCAAACTTATTATATTTTCAATAATAATATTTCCATATGGATTTTCAACATTATATTTTTAATAAATCTTAAATAAATATTCAATATACCTTTTAAAATCCAAACTTACTATATTTTCAATAATAATTCTTTCATTTGTATTTTCAATATAATAATCCCAAAGAGACATCCTAAGGGACATCCTTATAGTTAAGACCTTAAGTTTCTATGTTGAAGATTTTAAATTTGAATATTAAAATAGGTGAGAAGAGTCTTGAAAATGGAAGGATAATCCCTTATTATATAACTCAATAAAAAAAAAAAGGTCAATATGAAATTTTAAGCACCACATCAAATGGTTGTTACAAAACTCTCTTCTTATTGATCTTCTTCTTCTTCTTCTTCATTTTTTTTTTTTCTTTTCTAGTAAGAAGGTGTTTACACCATAAATTGTAAAAATTTTAAATCATGCCATGTGTCAAAGATTTTTAAATGGATGGAGGAGATTTTGCCCCGTCAAATATGCAATTCTGGGCCCCTTGACAAATCAGCTACCACTTTGAAAGGAAAAAGGTAAAAAAATAAGATTTTATCTTTTAATTACCTTTTAAAGTTAAATTAGGATTATTTTAACTGAAATTTAGGAACATGTTTTAGTTATGGGTATGAGTTATTAGATGAAGAGAACAAGTGGCAAAATCTGGAAGGCAATCTAACCTTATCAACTATTGAGGTGTTCAACTACATCAAGAAACTGTTCATGATTTTTAAAACTCTAGAGAGTGGAGAGTTACAGTCGGAAAAAGGAGAACAAAAGGGAAATTTTGGAAGGGAGAACACACGGCTAGCTCTACTCAAAACCTGCAAATTTTTAGACTTTCATTTTCTCTGCAACTGCTTACAGATTTCGGATTTCAACACAATTTCCAGTAGATTTAGGTTCTTTTTCATCATTCCAGTTATCGAACTAGTTCTTATATTCGCTATAGCAATTTCGTTTCATGTGTTGAACTTCAAGTTGTTGAATTTCTTCAAGGTACTGTTTCTTTTGTGCCTATAATTAGTTTAATGTTTATGATAAGTAACATTTCATCAAATGATTACTTATATGTTGTTCACGCTTCTTCTGAAATTCAATCATGTTAGTTTAATCACTGTTCACGTTTGTTATAGTGTTAATTACAATTAAATTTTTAATTCTGCAATAATTTAATTTTCACATCTGTTAGTAGATAACATTTTAATTTCAATGAACATGTTTAATTTAATTTATGTACATCTTTTTTCTCACAAATTTATTTTAGATTGCATGCTATTTAATTTAATTAGGACTTGTTAACTTTGTTTCACGGTATTATTTAAGTCCTTGGAGTTGTCTAAGGCAGATTTCGTAACCATTCTGTAGGAAAGTATCCCTCCCTCTTACAAATCATCTATAGACGCAGATTTTAACTTTAAACTAATGTTCTTCCTGTCATCTGCAAAAAGATTGATCGTAAGGAAGGAGATGGTCGTTAAAAAAATCTTTGTTTCTTACTTTCAACAAAGTAAGTAACATGTCCATATCCAGATTCCATATGTCCGAGGTCTAGATTTTTAAGGGAACAGAAGGCCTTATGAAACAAAGGTCTCCATTCATAACATTCCAACAAGACCAGGGAATCCCTTTGAGCTGCCCAGTTGGTTAGAACTGAGAAGAAATTCTTGGTTGAAAAACTTGGAGGAGTTATTCTAGCAAATGAAGAATGAAAAGGTCGAGCGACTTTTTCAAACAGAGCAAACCATGGAAAATGGTAAGGTGATTGGCAGGTTGGCTGACTGCCCGTCCAACCCCAATTCCCCAGCCTAACTTACACGAAACGACATGAGCAGAAAATAAGAAACTAACCAAGATATAGCCTGGCAAGCAGCAAGCATCGCTGAAGTGCAAAACCAGTGATGAACCATGCATAACGATGATTGTGAATCCAACAACGGTTATAAAAATAATCAGAGACCCAAACACATCAAAATCCATTAATAAAGGTGGTTATGGAGCTTTATGATTCAAAATCCTTATGAGCTAGAAAGCTAGAAACCCTCCTTATTTTCATCGATCAATAAAAGAGGTTGATGGAGGATTCACACATTCATACTTTCTTGCAACATGTTTAACAATTTAGCTGAAACTACAACTTCTGAGACAAGTAAAAGGACACAACACAACGCCATAGTCCTTTACTGTATATTTGTATCTGCTCACATCTTTGAAGGCTTTGGGAAAATATCAGGGGTGAATTTCTGAGCTGCACTCAAACTGCCCTTGATCTTCATTGCACCCCTGCATCATCAAATGCCATAACATACATAAGCGGATAAGCCAACCGTGCATGTATCCAAGCATATATCACAGGAAAATTGCAATTGGTTTCCAATCCAACCTCATAAAAGCAATTTGGGGATTCATCTTCCCTAATGCAACCTTCACAAAATCTTCATCCTTAAAGGAAAATGTGGCATCAGGTTTCCCTCCTTCATATTGCCCTGAAATGTCAAAAAAAAAAAACTCAACATTCAAGCCCCTGCTAATGCCTAAATATTGAATTTTATAAAGAAAGCCCTAACCTTTCGTAACTTCTCCTTTCTTGAGATCGACAACATAGGTAACCTCATCAAACCCAATTTTCTGCAATTCATAACAGTAAACACAAAATCAAGCCCCGGACTTTGAGTCAGACCCAGAAACGAAGAGACACATGCATTTATATACAGAGAGAAAGGGAATACCTTGGGAGCTATATTGATCTGATAAACGAGACCAATCTTCTTGGTGAGCTGTTTGCCGGCGTCGGTGGTGAGGTGTTGCTTCATCTGCTCCAACAAGGCATCAGATTTCAATTGGGTATCGGCCATTGCTCCTCGCTACTGTATTCGAGTCACGGAAGCCGCTGAATTCGATTGCTGATAGCTTCTTCTTCTGCTACACGGCGGTGTCTTTATCTTGGCCTCGGGTAGGTGCGCTGACAAAATTAAGTTAAACAACTGCCGGAATGGGTCGGGATGAGGCTTGGGCCATACCGGACAGGACACGCATTCCAATACTTGCATCATTCTGGGGATCTGGTGCTTCTAAGCTCATTGAATTAAAATGAGATCTCGTTCTCGTTCGTCAAAATCGCGTTCTATGACTTTATCGTACGGTGTAAATTATCCTCTATGAGATTACAATGAGGTCGGTAACATGTGAATTTTTTGGGCTAACTTCGTAACCATCACGGCATCTTTTAATCTTGTGTCAGCCCAAAAGAACCGGGCCGTAATTGGAGCTCAGAAAGGGCCCAAATAAGGGTTTTGTTCAGGCCGGTAACAAAGACCCAAACAAAAGGTTGAACGGATATATATACATATATATATATATATATTTTTTTTTTCTGACATAAAGATTGTATGTTACCAACAATCTAAATAATTTTAATAATAATCTCTTTTTAAAAGATTTTCAATTTAAATTATATGATATACAGATTAGATAATATGCGAGTAATCTAAGATAGAAAAAAAATCAAATATTGTGTCGTGATCTATATTGCATAGAATTGTAATTCTGTGAATGATTATTATCATAGGGCTTGGATTGCAAAGAGAAAATGTGATATGATTATTTATGATACCATCAAGGATTGAATACTTCTTCTACTTCAAATGTATGCTCAATATTGGGAAAATAGTCATCTCCTTGAGTTGCTTCATCTGAAAAGCTTAAGACTAAACAGTAATCAAGTCTTTTATGTGTATGACTAGAGTAACCGGACAAGGTCCATAAAATGTAGTGTAATCAGTCTTTTATGTGTAGAACCATTCTTGCATTTGAAAGGCTACAATATTTTGAAGATTACCAATTCAGCTCTGGTGGCCACATGTAAGCAGGGTCCTTAAGAGAGACATCTAGCTGTTCCTTAGATGGTGCACTTGTACTTTCTAACTCTGGCCAATTGTTTTATGACGCGTGGTACCCTTGCAACCTCTGACACCAACAGAGAGGGACACGCCTGGTCGGGCTTGGTAGGACAAAGGCACCAATCGAGAGCCAAAACATGGTGTCGCATTTTCACTCCCAGGTCCAAGCCAAACCCAAGAAATCTGAAAAATGTGGTATCTCAGGTATTTAAGTACTTGTGTGGGTGGGGGTCATTACATTTGAACTAGAAAAATCAATCACCACCCCAACCTGTTCTTTGATCATTCATTAAAGGAAGACATCATAGGCATGAAGTAATGTAATTTCCTTTTTCAATTATCATTATTTTATTATTATTTCATTAATTTCCTTTTAAAGTTCTAAATTCCATGTCACAAAGGTTCAATAGTGGCAAGAATATGCTAAATTTGGTATGTCAAAAGGAAAATCTGACCATCCATACATGACCTTCCTAGAAATCAAGAGAGGAAAAAAATACAAGAGGATTCAATGGCAATGAATCCGGAAAGAGAGTCGCTTCATTCAACTGCCTTTCCTAGCTTATACATTCTTTCCAAAATTTGGTGGGGAGTCCATGCCGTGGAACTGGAAATGGACCATACTGAATCCCACTTTTGGATCCTACCGCTTCCCACCTGCAAACACAATAGAAATATGTTGATCATCAATGATTCTACACCCCTGAAATAATCTCCTCTTTAACTCCAAAAGTTTTATCATTCAGACTGATTTTTCTTAGCATACCTATAGTTTGAAGCCAAGTTATGTGTCATTATAAGCATCTCAAGCTTTGCTAGCTCATTTCCAGGACAAGCATGAACTCCACTGCCAAATGGCATAAATGTGTTGGGTTTTGGAGCAACCTACATAAGCCATAAAAAATAAGAACCAGTAAAAAAACTAAGCCAAACCCATCTTCGACAAGAAATAGGGAAGTGCCTTGAACCACAAATATTAAACTAAAAATCTTAAAGACAATAGGTATTTTAAATGGAACAATATAAAAAATCACAAAATCAAAAAGTCAAAAAATCAAAATCAAAACAGTATGGACTGCTTCTTACCTCAAATCTTGAAGGGTCAAATTTCTGAGGATCAGTAAAAAATTCTGGATCGTGATGAATGTTCCTGAACAGAGGCATTACTTTCCATCCCTTAGGAATGATGTACCCTGTCACCAAATTTTTTAGTCAACAATTCCCTTAAAATTCATTTTGTGTTTGCCTTTCAATGTTACAGACAGACTAATTTATCAATGGGTTCTTACCTTTGTATTCAACGTCGGCCACTGCTTCTCTGAAAGTGAAAGATATGATACTTGCCATTCTCAAACTCTCCAATATGACCCTGTAAGTAACAGGCATGTTCCTAGTTTGTGACCAATTAAGCTGTTTTCCTTCTTCTTCATTCTGTTTCCTGATTGCTTTTTGTTCAGACTGCAAATTAAGACAGCCCCACCATTTGATATAAGATTTAAGACAAAATGGGGGGGTTGGAAGCTTGGAATTGGATTTTTCTAGATTCTACGTGCCGTGTCTTAACTCTTACCTTCACTGCCTCTAGAAGTTTCGGGTTGTCATGGAGGTACTTGACAATCCATGTCATGACACTCGCTGTGGTGTCCTGAGCCGCAAAAAGGACTCCGATCGCGTTATCAGCAATCTGATCGTCAGTCAGGACTTCTCCATTTTCATCCTTGGAATTCAATAGACACCCCAACAAATCCTTTTCGAGTAACTTCTTCTCCTTCCTTTCTCGTATAATTTCACTCAGAATCTCACTTAGCCTCTTTCTCGCCTGTTCGATATCAAGAGAAGAAAAAGAAAATGTCACAATTAAATCGAAAAAGGAAATTTTTGACAAATTGGTTTGCTGATTTTATGTTCTATTGTTGTTACCTGTAAGGCCTTTCTGTATGGAGTTCCAGGAA